TTAAATAATGTCATGAAATCTTTGTAAAAGCATGAATATTGTCTGAATCAGTCAAACTAAAAGTGTCCAAGCCATAGATTCCATTTAACCGTGGCATGGTGAGCTGTAAAAATGTGTTTAGTAAAGGGTAAAACATGGGTTTGAATGAAATGCAGCTCCATGCTGGACAAAGTGCTGCTCCATCATACACACCTTGACATCAGGGAAGTACGTCTTGAGAGTGTTGGAGCTGGGATAACGTGCGTAGAAGAACATGAGCTTGGCTTTCTTCAGATGACAGGGAGACAAGCCCTCCTGGGTGTATACATGAGGCCAGTCAAGGAGATACACACATTACACATTACACACACACACACACACACACACACACACACACACACACACACACACACACACGCAAACACACACACAAACAGACACAATAAAGGATATTCCCCCAGCTGTCAGGTAGAGCTCTCCTCCGTCCATCCCTCCGCCTCCTCTCATCCCCCTCTCCCTCTCCCTGCCTCCGTGGGCGTGCCGGGCGAGGGCGGGGTCCAGGTGGCCGAGCAAGGGGAGTGGTGGGAAGGAGGGGTGGGACGAGGGGTGGGAAGAGAACTCCAGGAAGGGATCAGCGTTTAGGTAGTCCTTCCGGGGCGGTGGCATGTGGGGGAGCTGTGTGTGGTGGAGCGCGCGGGAGAAGAGTTGCTGCATGGAGTAGTGCAGCAGTGGGAGAGGGAGAGGAGGAGGGGGAGGAGGAGGAGGAGGGGGAGGCGCGGGGAAGGAAGAGGAGGAGGAAGAGGAGGAGGAAGAGGATGGATGGGAGGAGGAGGGGTCCTTGGCCTGTGAGGTTGGAGGTAAGAGGGGAGGGTGAGAGAGAGGAGGAGGGCGAGGTAGTGACGGGTGATGGAGGGAGAGGTTTGGGTGAGAGGGATTCAGGTGGGAGGAAAGAGGTGGGCCAAGGAGTGGGTGAGACTTCCGTATGTCCGGTGAACGTTGAACAGCCAATGGCATCGTCAGATCTGACGGCTCGTTGCGGTGCAGCTGCCCCTGAGCCTCGACGCCCCCGTTCCTCATCTTCTGGAGCTGCTTCTCTCTTTCTCCCTCCTGCCCTCCCATCTTCTCCTCCTTACCCCTCGTTTTCTCCTCCCCTCTACCTCTCGTTAACAGTCCCATCCACACTCCCCTCTCCCTCCCTCCGTCGTTGCCTACATCAGATGGGAGGAAGGAGATGGCAGCAGGCGGAGAGGAAGGAGTGAAATCTGTCGTTTCAGTGTAGAGGCGGAGAACTCGGTCGATGACTCGGGCCACGGCGCTGCCCAGCTCCAGCTTCAGTGCCTGAGCGAACTTCTGCCCGCCCTCCTCACCCTCATCTTCCATCCCTCCATCCCAGTCTCCTCTCACCAGTCCTCCACAATCCAACCACAACCCTGCTCCCTCCATTAGGCCCTCCAAGTGCAGTCCTCCTCTTCCTCGCTCCACCCTCCTTTCTTTCTCCTTTTGCCTCTCGTCTCTCCGCCTCTGAGTGTGGAAGTTTTCAAAAGGGGAAACAGAAAGAAGCGAGAACGACTCCTTTTCAGTCTCTCCATCGTCAATGTCCTCTTCATCATACATCCCATCTGTTATGTCCTCCTCCTCCATCATCACCACATCTCCATCCGCTGCTCCTCTGTTTCCATTCCTGCGCCTCCTTTTCTTCTCCTCCTCTGCCATGTGCTTTTCCCCAAAAGCCCTCCATACTTTCTCCTGCAGGAGCTGCAGTCTCTCTCTCGCCTCCTCCAGCTGCTCTTTCAGCTCTTCCCTCTCTCGTCTCCTCCCCTCCCTGCCTCCCACGTGTCTCCTCCCTCCCTCATTAGCTTCTCCATCAGCCTCTCCATCCCTCTGCCGACTCTCCAGTTTCATCCTCTTCACTTTCAACACATCTTGGCTCCACTCTGCTGCAAGAACGGCATCACTGTGCCTCTTCTTCACCTCCAGCAAGCTCTCCTCTCCCTCCAGGACCCCTTTCTCTCGTCCTTCAATCCCCCGCTCCACCTGTGCATTCCTGTCTTCCTCCAAATCTCTGTCTTCCAGGTGTCGGTGTGTGCTCAGGTTTGTGTTGAGTTGTGCTCCACTCCTCCTGGATGCTCCCCCTGGCTGATGGAGGTGGTGAATGAGGGGAAAGCTGGGAGGCCTGAAGGCAGGAGGAGGTCGACCTGCGCTAGGCTGAGGATGGACTCCGGGGAGGTCTGTGGAGTTGAGAGTGGGAGCGAATGCATGAATCTGGGAAGCAGAGTCACCGAAAAGATCTGTGGGTGAATCCATCGCTGAGGGAGAGAGACAGAGAGACAGACAATAATGACTCTTGTTGCTGAAGTTTAAGTTGTTTTGCAGAAGCTTTGAGTGTTTTGCAACCAATTACGTGCAACAATTTCACTGGTACAACTTGGTTCGAGTACACTTGAGTGGCCAGTTCAGCAAAATTACAAATAATAGGTTTACTTTGTGATGGTCTCTCTGTAGTCATGCAGATAGTTTTGGTTTTACTTGGCAAAACATTTTTGTGCTACACAAGATTCAGGGAGAGAGAATGGGGGAGGACAAGCCGCAAAGAAGTTGGGTGGAACTGAACCTATATGTGGGGCTCACCAGGTAGAGCGGCCCTGTCCCTGTCAGTCTAGATAATCCAGAGACATCAATGTGAACAGTTTAAAGAAACAGAAATTGATAACAGTTGATTCTGTGGGTTTGAATTTCTAATTCTGTCGAGGAGGTTATGTTTCTACCTCTGTCTGTTTGTTTGTTTTTCCGCTAAATTATAAAAAAGGTACAATAAAAATTTAATAAATTTCAATTCTGTAGCACCTTTCAAAACTCTGTGCTTTTCAAAGTACAATAAAAGTTACCAAATCATAGAAAAGGCTAGATCCGACTCAACAACATAATAAAACAACTCAGAAAAGATAAAAAAAAGAATACATCCGTCTATACAGGTATGATTTCAACCACTTTTTAAACTGAGGCAGTGATTCTGCTGCTCTGATGTTGAGTTTCCACCATGAGGAGCTAAAACCATAAACACATGATCCCCTTTGGTTTAAGCCTGGATCTTTGGGATTTTAACAGCATTTAATTCTCTGATCTCAGGGGTCTCTGAGCAGAGTAAGGGGTTAAAAGTTCTGAAATATAAAGTAGACCTACTACTGAACATATATCAACAAAACGTAGTGGAATGATAAAATAACCCTTTAAATAGTAGGCCTCGGATCCAGGAATCTTGTAACTTTCTTTACCATGATGACACAGGACATTTTTTAAATTGATTGGCCGGGAATTAATTCATGGCTCTTGATGAAATAAATCTGATATTTTTAGTGGACTGATATCTATGGGTGTTTCCAATTTGGTGCAGCTTGATTGACTTAAGGGTATCTTGGGCCCTGGTGGGGATATACGCTCTGCTGAGAGCCATTCTAGTTTTCAATTTAATTTTCTGCGCTATGAAATATAAATAATTTAATATAAAGACTCTGTATGGCAACCAAAACCACACAAAAGAATAAATGCATCATATGTCTGGCACATGACTTCTGCTCACCTGGACAGCAAAACAGGTCACAGTTTTATCGAAGGACGCAACCACTTCCACTTTAATATTGAAGAGAATGATCTGCGGCGTCCGTGCATACAGCTGAAAAATATATAAGCACACACTGTGAAAGAGAACACCAGTGAAATTAAGTTAAGACAAGGAACGAAAGGCTGATCTTCTCCTCCCTGTCCTTCAGACTTGAAATGGAGTACTGCAGCTCTGATCAAAAAATGATGGAAGACAGGGAAGGGTGTTAGTGCAGGTCAGCCGACCGGGGACCGGGCTATGTGCTGGTGGAGCAGTAGGTTAACATCTGGCTCATGATCTTTGTCACATATCAGCCTGGTCTCTTTACGCTGTCTTTCCTGTTTCTCTCAATGGTGTGGTGTCTAAGAAAGCATCATCGTCACAAAAATACATATAATAAAATGGACGAATAGAGCCACATCAAAGCTCTTAGTGTAATATACAATAATAAACGTGTGGATTCTGGCACTGAGTATAATAAATAAAGGGTACAAATCACTGAACATTAAGAACAGCTCTAGTGTTATTGGATATTTTAGTGTTTAATTCTGCATGGTTTACCTACAATACCTGGAAAAGCTTGTAAAACTAGTTCATTTCACTATTTAACCAAGCTCAAAAACACACATCCCCCATTCCATTTTCTTTTTTCAGTACGTAACCTCCTTTCCCTCTGGACGCCCCTTTCCCCCCTTTCCTTCCTCTCTATCCCTCTCTCATCCTCTCTTCCTCTCCTCCCTCTGTTATCAGTTCGGGCAGCTTGTTAAGCACTGTTTGATCAGAGTATTTACCATCAAATACACACTCTCCCACACACACAAAATCACACATGCATACACATTCGCACAAAAGCGAAAGAGGCTTGAGGGAGGGCTAACAATGGTCAATGGTCCTTGGGGAGTGAAATGGAGTGAGAGAGCAGCATGTACGTTTGCAACCTTGTGTGTGTGTGTGTGTGTTCGTGTGTGTGTGTTAACAGTAGTCCTACTTAGCTTTGATAACACCCCTAATCCACTTCAGATGGATACACTACTACTCATCCAGCAACAGAGAGATGGCTGGATGGATGATGAAAATGGACAGATGTGAGGACAGACTGAGAGAGGTGCAGTCAGCGGACAAAATTACAGCAAATGGGAACATGCGGGTACACAAACACAGAATTAAAACACACTTGATTTACACTGGAAGCTATAATAATTTATAAGATAGATAGATAGATCAATCGATAGATGGATAGATATATAGATAAATAGATAGAGAGATAGAGAGATAGAGAGATGGACAGATAGATAGATTGACAGATAGAGAGATAGACCAGTGCATAGGTCCCCTGATGCAACATGAAGAGAATAATCCTCCTATAAATAGCTAAATATCAATTATTCAAATGCCCTCTCTTCTCCACTATAATACAGCCCAGATGGTGAGCCGGCCAATGCGCTTATATCAGGGACAGATTAGCTTTTCAAAGCCAGTGGAAAGCTGCACCAAATACAAACACACAACCAGCAACCAAAAACGAAAGCTGTTAACCGCTAGATTATGATTTAAGGACGGTGCACTTGGACAGCTGTGGAGCTGTCACTGGGCGGACAGGAGAGGGGGACGAGCGCTGAATTAAACACACACAACTTACTGGTATTAAATAATGTGTGTTAGTAAATTCTTTTTTTTCCCCAAATTCTAATCTGGGTTTATGTGTTGACGGAACATGTGACCAAGACATAGGCCAACAGAGGGAAAATCAGAGGCTAACAGTTTACATCTCTAATCTAAAAAATATTGGGCTTTTAGGACTTGCACACTTTTATTATATATTACATATATAATAATATATCAACATATTGTCATGTAAATACACATACAAATCATGGAAGTAGACTCTGTGTTTCTAAAATATTCAATAATCTGTCTGGGTGTATAATAGGTCACTCAGCTATGATTTTGATATCGATTAGGCTATATTGTTCAATCAATCAATCAATCAATTAATCAATCAATCAATTTATCCATCTATCTAATTGCTAATAGCTATTTTGCTATAGCTATTTAGAGGAGGATTATTGTCTTCATGTTACACTATTTTAGTATTGATTAGGTTCGATTGATCTTTCTTTCTTTTTAGCTATTTATCTATCTCTCTATCGATAAATCTGTCTAATTATCTATAACTCATATTTAGTTATTTATAGGATTATTCTCTATTTGTTGCATGATCTATCTCTCTATATAAATGAATGAATGAAATAACAAATGTCTGAAGCCTGCGCGTGGCAGCATCTGCCGGCTCTGCCACGCGAGAGGAATCCACAGTGGCTGCTCTCACGCACGAGCTGTCACTTTGTGTGCGAGTGCGTGCGCGCGCGCCCGTGCGGCGTCCTGTGACTAATTGGCAGCGGTGGACTAATGTCGCAGAGCAACAAACACACACGGACACACACACACACGGATGTTGGCACACATGAAGCTACTTTAGAAGAATAAACAGAACTCACTGTGAGGCGCGGACAGGAGCTCCAGCGGTGTCCACTCACCCCCGCAGCCTTCCACTACCAGCGGCCGCTCTCTGCGCACTCTGCCTCGGTCACTTCAGCAGGCACCGGCCGGGCTTTGGAGCTCAGTGCGTTCAGAGCGGAACCAGCCCCCCTCTCTCTCTCTCTCTCTCTTCTCTTTTATTTCTTCTTTGTTCCGCAACTCTCCCAAAATGTGACCCCCCCCCCCTTATTTACCTTCACGCACCTCTTCTTCACGAGTTGTGTCACTGTGCGGGTTTTTCTGCTTCCGCAACAATCCCGTGTTCATCCTCACGCGCCGCTGCTGCCATCGGTGTGGAGTAGGGTGGCGCGCGGTGGGCGGGCGAGCGCGAGAGCTGTGTCCACTTGACGGTCCGGTCCCTCCCATGCTGGCATGACACACACACACACACACACACACACACACACACACACACACACACACACACACACACTGGAGTCATTCTCACAGATTTCAAATGAACTCTTTGGATAATTCCTGGCAGCAACAGTTTGTTACAGATGGCTGCTGCTTGCTCACCAGATCTTTACAGTAGAAACATGAACAACATCACCTGTCATCCAGATGCAGATGTCTTTTCCTACATCAGGGGCCACTCATTGCTGCCCCCTTCATCTTTATCAGACATATTCTACATGTACAAATACTTTAAACATCGACTTTATCTTTATGTTACAAACTGTTTCTTCTAATCAATCAATGTTATTTTGCTGATGTGTTCAGTTGCACGTGGCTTCTATTGCACTTCTCTCCGTCCTGGGAGAGGGATCCCTCACATTTGGCTCTCTCAGAGGTTTTTATGTTTTTCCCCCATTAACAGATTTTTTTGGTAGTTTTTTCTTACTCTTATTGAGGGTTAAGGACAAAGGATGTTGCACCTTGTGAAGCCCTAAGAGACAAATTGTGACTTGTGATTATGAGCTATACAAATCAAATTTGATTGATGACAAGTTACACAAGCTGTGTCTCAATTCTGCATCGTTCACCGGCTGCATTCATAGGCCTGTTGTGTCGCAGCGGTGCGACTATATTACCAATTCAAAGGCTCGACCAATGCAGCCGACAAATGTGTCCTTCCAGCCCTGAGCAACGAAGGCTCCACAGGGTGAGTCTGTCCCAGCCCAACATATCCCATGATTCATCGCACTTCAGAAATGTTTTTCAAAGAGGTAATGATGGCAGAAAGTGAGGCGAAAATGTCAAACAGTGTACCGAACAGCTAACGGTACACTTTTTCAACATTTTTAATCAACCGAACAAGATTTTAGCTTTGTTGCTAGGCGACGGCTGTAACGGCGGGACAAGCTGGTGACGCAATAGGTAGACCAGACCATTTAATTTTGGAATGGGCTGACACGGTTTACACGGCTGTTGGAGGATGCAGCTGACATAGGCTGCGTGAACCAGGTGTAGACTGGGTCCTCTGCATGGACACAGCTACAGAGGGACCTGTTATATGTTAAACATCCATGCAAAATTCCTGATTCAGAGAGACGCACGTTTACTTTTACCTCTAAAGCTTGGGTTCAAAGCCATACATTAGTGAATATACCTTAATTGTACATTGTGTTCTTCAAAAAATATTTTTTTAAATTAACACACTGTTATAATTAATGTTAGCACTGTGATTAGTGACTATACTGACAGGACAGGGGCACCTCAGGGGGCAATCAGATTTCAGCTCGGCCAGTGAGCCCCCTCCACCCCTGGATCCGCCCCTGCTGTCCATGTCCACTGCTCAAGGTCCAGCAGGGTCTGTCACTGTACATTCACCATTGAGAGGGAGGTGGTCATTCATTAACAGGTTTATCTCACCACAGGAATTTACTATGAGATACAGCACACACAAAATACACACAGTTACAGTATCTTCACACGTCGAAAGTTTTTTTGTTGCAAAAGCTGTATTTTTAACAAAAATAGTTAAGATGGACTTTATTATTCCCAAAGG